AAGGAGAATGCAACTTTTTGATTGATCTGAACCAATCATTATGAGATTGACATAGTAAAAACATGGCCTTTGGTGTGCACTTTTTAAATTGGCCATCATTTCTTAGAAATATTATCCAGAAAGAGGCATGGAGGATCTCTTTCTAAACTCTGAAAACGTACATCACTTTGAAACTTTGCCTAAGAATATAAATGGAAAAGGGTTACTAAAGAAAACTAGAAAATGGCTTTTTATCTGTCAAATAACTTATTTTATAAAGATAAAAAGTCACTACATAGTTTGGTAATTTTGTTTTTATAATTTAGTTTTGTTAACTCATTAGCTAGTATTTCTATTGAGGTTTTACATACTATCTTTACATTGCTGTTTTATTTATTTTTGTATTGTTGATGAGACAAAATACACGATGCCCAAAGTTAAAGGGGGAAAGGTTTATTTAGCTCGCAATTTGTACAAGTTTCAGTCCGTAACTGGCTAACTCCGAGACAGGTGGCTTTGCAGAGGAGAAACAGTTTATGATGGGCAGAAAATAACAAAGCAGCGAATCAGGGAGAAACAACTCTTTCTGCCCTTTGTATTATGTGCAGGTTACTGGTCCTAGGTTGGGTGGAGCATTTGTACCCTTAATCCTAGCCAGAACTATGACAGGCTAATCAGAGGACTGATTCTCTAGTCACACACCCTTGGTGCCAGCATCATACTCTAGATTCAGCTGCCTCTGAAAAAGCCCCAAGAACACATGAGACTTTGGGGGAACATTTAGACATAGCCATAACATTAGACATTGCCCTTGATGTACCCGTGTACAAATGCACTTACATACATACACACACTCCAGTGTGCAAATCTGATACAAAATAATTGAAAGAAGTTTTACCTCCTAGAAGTAATTAAATTCCTTTTCCCCTTTTGTTTTCATCTTTGGTGTGAATTTGAGCGGGATACTTCATCTAATTCCTCCAATAAATATCTCTGAAAGTATATCTGGCTGTTTATTATTTTTCCAACCATACTATTTTCTTGGAGATCCAAAATTTCTTCTATTAGCTCAACATGAAAATTAAGTTTATTTTTTAAATTTTTTGTCTTTTTGTGACAGGGTCTTACTATGCAGTTCAGGCTGGCTTTAAGCTCACTTTGTAGCCCAGGCTGGTCTCAAACTTGCAACAATCCTCCTGCCTCAGCCTCCCAAGTGCTGAGTTTACAGGTGTGCTCCACCATACCTGGCCAAAAATTATGTTTAAAACTGTATCTTATTCCTTCCAGTAATAGGCTAAAAGGAATGAAAATTGTTCTAATTCATAGTAAAACTGATTCTAGCATAGTTTAAAATTCCATTGCAATTCATGATGATAGTCGTACATTCTTGGTTATTTATTTGTTGATGCTCTGTCTTGTTCTAATATTGATTCAGGGGAGCTAGCTGCAGTATTATGGAATAATACTCTTAAAAATTAACTAACCAGCCTGGTAATGCACCTTGGTTATAAAACTCTTTTGTAGCAAACACAAAACTCTACATTTGATCCACAGCACTACACAAACAAAACAACAAAGCAAAATTGTCTTCCATATGAGACTATTAAAGTGTTCTATGGCCAAGATTACCTCTGCGGGTTGCCCCTTCTTGGAAGATATGCTTGTTAGTCTTCCTGTGTCCTCCAATGCCGATTGAGGCCGATTCCTCCTTGAGAAAGACCTTGTATCCCTCTCTCTCACTCAAGATGATAAAAAACTTCTGGCCTCTTTGAAGGAAAAACTGTGATTGATTTCCAGTGCAACTTGAGCCATTATCTATTTCCAAGTAGTAACTTTACATTTGCCATCAATATGCCTCTATTTTGTGTCTCCCGAGAGCAAACATGAAAATTTTCATTACTCAATATCTGATCTCATTTAACTCATTTTTCCTATCTTTGGCCGTTTGAGTCATAGGGCTTCAGAGTGTCCCATCATTTGGGAAGCAGATGTCAAATCATCTCTCTGAGGATCGAGGGGCCACTTAAGACATAAGTTACCATTTTTATTTCCTGGAAAGAATTTATAATTATATTCTGCTTGTCCAGTTTTTTTAGCTTTCCACCTGAATGTGGTATTATTTAATAACCATTGCAGTCTGACAAAGGGCATAGGTTAACTGGTTAAATTACTATGCTTCTCTAGTTAATTTGTCTGTGAAATAGTAGAAGTGTTAACTTTGTTAGGTTACTATAGGTTGTTAGGCCATTCTCTGTTACTATATTAAAAGCACCTAAGATAATTAAGTTGCAAGAGAAAGTGTTGATTTACCTCTCAGTTCTGGAGCCTCCTGTCCAAAATCAAGTGGACTTGCTGTTTTAGACCTGAGAAGGGTTTTGGATGGCAATGATGGGGAATACAACACCTCACAATCCAGAAACAAAGAGTGAAGAGAAAGAGTCTGGTGTTCCCATCCTTCAGGGATGTGTCCCAGTGATTCGACAAGCCCTTCCACCTCAAATTTCTACCACTTTCCAAAAGGACACTTATTTATGGTTAGGAGAACTGAATGAAGAAGGTGATGTGTTGCTGTGTTCAGTCTCATCTGGGAAAGTGTGTGTTGGACAGCTCAACATTTTTAATCATAATGTGCAAGTCCATGAATGACTTCAAAAGCAAAGTACTGATTTTAGATTTGTGAATGGATTTTAACAAGTAGGTAAATAGACAAATTCTTGGATACTGGATATTCTGGCATTCTTGGATAGTGTAGATCTACTGTGTATTTTACTACTCATCTCTATTGCTTGTGTAGTGTAATATGATCTAGTTGTGAGCTTTTGTGAACTTCCATAGTGTATAGTGTATAGGCAGCTGTCACACTCCTTCACTGAAAGTGCCACACTGAGAGCATTTACACAACACAAATTGGCAAATACCACAAATTGTGGCCCAGCTTATTATTTAGGATTTAATACATGAAGGAAAAAATTTATTAATACAGATTAAATAAAAAATGTCTGGAGACATTACATTTTGAATAGCACACACACACACAAAAACAACAGAGGAAGTGTTCACCTAGTATTCAAAAACAGTCTGATTCAGCAAAGTCATTCACGACCGATGAATGTGTGATACTCTGACATACATCTTCATTGTTCCAATTTCATCCTAATCATAATATAACAATATTTGTGTTTGAAGCACACTCTTGTTGACTGCAATAATGGGTTGGCTATGATGATAATCAACAAAAGTACTCTGTGAGAATTAGTTGTTAGAGGAAATTTATAATAGAGTAGTATGCATTTTAGCGTGTCCTACATATTCTTTATTAGGAATATTTACAGTTTAAATGCATTTATTTTCACAGAGTTGAGTATTTAAGCAGCATGGTAGTACTTCAAGTTGAGTAACTCAATTACTTAATCTCCAAGGTTCTATTAGTCAGGTATAAAAAAAGAAGTACATATACCTTCCTCATAAGATTTTAAGAATTGGACACATTATTGTTCCTAATACTTCATTTCAGGTAAGAATGCCACTGATCTGTCTCCTCTCCTTACCACCTCACCTGGAAGAACAAACCAGGGGCTCATTTGTCCCTGGGTACATCCACCCCATCTTTTCCAAGAACATGCTCCTTAATAGGCAGGTGAAAACTTGCCACTAGGTGGTGTAAGCAAGATGCCTTTGATATATCAGAGGACATCAATGATTGAAAATCCTGTGACACATTTTACCCTCACAACCCTGGGCTAGGGAGAAGATAAATGAAATGTTTAAAGTCTGCAGTCATGGTGCTCTGTCCAGAGAATGCTTGTCTGGTGATCAGTGTTGGCACCTTGAGAAAAAATGTTCACCTCTGAGCCCACTGTGGATAACGGTAACAAACCAAACTCCATCTTCTGCAGAACTGGTTCCCCTTTTCCACTGGTCTTTGGCACATGACACACAGCTAGCTACTCAGTACTTTCTATGATCAGGTCCTCCCCAACCTTACCTTAAAAGGAAGAGCTGGAAATGTAGCACTACCCCATTCCTGACAGATCTCTCACAGTTAGCACTAACAGGCGACATCTGCCTGCTTTTCATGGGCTGCAGACATCATTAAACAAACCTCTTTTGGAAAGGGATCCTTTAGGGGATTCCTTAGGCAGAGCTGCCAAGGGCTGGGACCAAGGCAGCAGCAAGATATCTCAGTGCCCTTTCTCCTGCTCTCATGACCAGGGACTGACTAGCCCTGTGTATTCTTGGAGAGGTGATTTACTTCCTTTGGGGGAGGTGGCAAATGATTCCTTTTCAGAAAGTCTGCAAGGCTTCATCTGCCACCTGTTGGTGGGACTGTTCACTCCAGAGGCGGCCCTACCACTCCTGCTAGGCTACTGCTGTGGAGCTGCTGAGCAGATGCTCCTTTTAGAAGCCAAGTACTAAGCATCACCAGTGGAGAGTTAGAATATCAAAAGTCAGCTCTAGTGGTTTTCTGCTTGCAAGGAAGCTTCCAACTGTGAACAGAGCTGGCTTACTTCATTTCTGCCTATGTTCCCACACCATCTCTGTTAATAATTTAGAAGAGCAGTATTACATATGTGGTATGATTCTGGTCATTTTTAATGAAATCTTGAAGCTGTTCTAAGATGAATTAATACTGAACACAAGACATCAGTTTCTTGTAAAGTACATACATATCTCCTTACTTGAATGTTACTTTACATTCTTTTTAAAAAACATTATTATTCTTTATTTTGTGTTTTTTTTTTTTTTTTTTTTTTTTTTTTTTTTTTTGTACCAGGAATCAAACTCATGACCTTGCGCTTGCCAGGCAGGTGCTCTGTTGCTGAACTATATCCTTGTCCAATTACTTTGTATTCTTAAACAAGACTAAAGACAAGTGTTTCAATTTTTGTGGAAATTTCTAAGTGTCTCTGTGTTTGCAAGTCCAACAATCACATCGAAGGCTGTCAAAGGAATAACAAAGTCTTATAAACAATTTTGTGACAGATACTGGCTCAGAATGAATTAAAATGACCACAAAATAGTTTTATTTTTCTTCTGAATTTATTTTGAATTTTTCATTTTTGGATAACCAAGCAGCTCTTTAAGGAGAATGCGCAGAAGAGTCATTCTGGCACTTTTGGATAGTACAATTTATTTTAATAGTCACATTCAGTTCCCTTGCTCAGTCCATACTCTTGTATTTGGTGAGCAAGATAAGCCCATAAGATTCCAGAGACAATGTGTACTTGTATATACAAACAGCCAGGAAAACCATATTGGTGGCTAGTGGCCAAAGGGAAGAAGGAGCGAAGGGCATCTCTAAAGTGTCCTCTAGTCTATCGTAGCTAAACAGAACCCACATTACACAGGATAACTAGAGTACACTGTGTTGAAAAGGGAATGCTCAGCACAAATGGCACTTGGCAGCATGCAGTTTAAATAAAAGGAGCATCATTTATAGTTTTATATAAAATCCAGGCAGTTTAATTAAAAGGGTTAAGAAAAACCAAAACAATGAGGGACTGTTTGTTTTCACTGTAAAAAAGGCACTTGGAGTTAATGGGACCAGAATTGAAAGACTCTTAGCTGATAAAAATTTCAGTATGATTTCATTTAAAGGCTTGGATGTTAAGAGATGACACTCAGGAGTTCTTAAAGGGAGACACTGAAATAAACCACTGAGAAGGAGACTAGATTAAAATGAGGGAATAAAATTTTTACAACCAAACTGCGTATTTTTTTTAAAAAAAGAAAATCTCAAAATAAGGCCTAACCAAAGCAAAACCTAAGCAAAGTAAGATGACGAAGCAGTGATGCATAGCTTTCCCTCGAGATAATGCCTACCTTGGGACACTATGTGCCACCCTCACTTCTCAGGAATAACTTCACGGTGGCATTATCGAGACAAAATGGATTCAAGCAACGCAAAAAGAATTTCTTCTGTTCCCAGAATCTGAGGGAGAATTGAGGTGATCCTTGGAGCATAGAATGTCATGTGCAGTTCTGCAGTGTCCCTGGCTGTGGCGGGCACATCAAGTCCCAGAACAACATTGAGACACCTCTTCCAGCCGCTGCCTTGCAGGGGTAGCAGGGGTCATTAGTCATCCTTTATTCTGAGCAAGAGCTTTAATTCCTTTCTGCTATGGACACTGCAGTATCAACACAATCAGTGTCCACTTCCATAGCTGTCACCAGTCAACCTCCCCTGCAAACAGGTAAGACAGGATATTTGGCAATTTTCTGTTCTCCAGCTGGGTGGTTCTGTGATGGCTTATTTAATGTTAAATGCCATGAGGGGTCTCTCCTCTCGCTTCTGCCAGGGGCTCTTCTTGTCTTCTCCTTGGTCATCATCATCGTCATCCTCTTCCTCTTCCTCATGAGCAGATCTTCTCTGGTGAGGACTGGCTGATGGCTCTGGGGGTGCATCTGACATTCGTCTGGTGGTCTCCTCTTGCAGGCTGGGCAGCTGTCCCCCACTCCTCCGACTCGAGCCTTCCAGCAGGCACCGCAGTGTACCATCCTCGGGGGTGCACACAGTGGTCCCACACTCACTGCTGCTCTGGTCCATGTCCTCCAGGTACACGAGCTGTGTATAGGCAGTGCTGTCTGGAGTGCTGGGCTCTTTCTGCTGGTGCTCCTGGACAGCTGGGTGGCTCTGCTGGAGAGACAAAGGGTCTCCCCGTCCCTTTCGGGCAGATTTTGGTTCATTCATATCCACACCAGAGTCCAAACTGGCATCATTACTTCCATTCCTTCCAGCTCTTTGGAGATCAATGTATGAATGTCTAACATGAGCATTGGATCTCCCATCCAGGGAGACAAACCAGGCCCGGGGGTGTGGAAGTGGTTTTCCACCCCCAAGTTCCATCAGCGCCTTTTCAGTCAGAAGCTGCACCTCACTGTTCATCTGAGCCAAAGCTGCATCGTTCAAGGATGCTGGGATGGACAGAGACTCTGACATGGATGCGTTCTGAGGGCTCCACTCTCGATTGCCTGCCTCCTGCAAGTGCTGCTGCGAGATGGCCTGGGAGGAAAGAGGCTGGCCTTGCATCTGGGAAGATGGGTGTGGGAAGATCCCTGTGTGAGGGTTGGAGAGCTCAGCCTGCAGCCTCCCGATTTCCAGCTGCTGGTCTGCTGAGACAACCAGAGGCTGGCTGACATAGGAATGGTCCCCTGGGAGTTTCATGTAGTGAGCTGGAATGACCAGAGCAGGCAGCACTTTTCTGTACACACTGTCATTGACCTGGTCCACAGAGCTACAGCAGATCAACTGGCCTGGCTGTGGAAAAGACGTAGGTCTCTCTAGGTGATCGACTGATCGTGACATCATACATTCAGTGGATCTTCGGTCTAGCAGTTGTTCTTTTTCTGGAGATGAAGGTGCAGGGTACATGTGTTCCTGAATGGTGAGTTTGCTTCCTGTGGATTCCGGCCCTTCTCGGTCTTGCTTTTCAAATAAAGGCTTGGAGAACATAGTGTTGTAACTGCCCCTGTAGTCATTGTTGCCTGGTGACTCACGGCCTTCTCGTTCTATAGGTTTTCTGGCCTTCAAGGGAAAAATTTCCACGGACTTACGGTAATCCTTTCCCAGCGTCCCGCTTGGTGTCAGGTTGTCAAAGGAGGTTTGGCTTTTGTCTTCCTCCTTATGGGACAGCAGTTCCTCTCGGGAGCTGAACTCTTGGGAGGTGCTGTAGGACAGCTTCAGCATGGGCGTGTGCAGGTCTCCCTCCCCGCTGGGTGACATCATTTCTAAATGGACCCCACTCATCAGCTCCTTTGTCCCTGGGGCCTCTTGGCGGCTGTGGCTGGCAACAGACAGAGGGCCAGGAAATTCTGATGCCCGACGAGAAAACAGCAAGTTGATGTGTGACATGGAAGTGGACTGGTCCCTTCTGGAACTCTCCAGGGCTGTGGGGAGCTGTAGCTTTCTGTGGTGCTGGCGAGGTTTTAAGCATTTCCTCCTGTGACCAAAGACACAACGCACACCACAGGTTAGGGCGTCTCACAGTGGGAAAGTGTCTCAGAGTTTCACATAAGAACCTAATGCTCAATTTCAAGGGAAAACAAACCAAAACAACTAATCCATGGCCAGACTTCTCAATTCACACCCATATCCTTATGCCAACTCAGAGTATTCTGAATATTTCATCCTCAGCTTCATAGAACACCAAATAATTCATTTTAAAGTGGTTACCCCAGTGGTTCCTGAACAGACATAGCATCAATTCTACTTTGATCTTGAGAGTATGATTTCTCAAACTGCAACAGGAATATTCCAAATGAATCATCCATATGAGAAATCTCATATATTCTGTCATATTCATGATTCATTCAGAAAATTGTCCAATACTTTTTAATAATTATCCTAAGAATGACATTCACAGCATACTGTATGCATCCTGTTGGTTCAGATCACATATCTGAATTTTCAAATTTTTAACTGTAGTTTCAAAAAAGAAAACAAGACCTCGACATCAGTGCTTCCCAATACCAAACTATATAAGTGAATCTACATTAAAAGATGATATCACTTTACCTGCAATAATATAGGAGGAGACACAGCAAAACCAGAAGTATGAAAGCCATTCCTCCTAAAATGGCCAAAAGAAACACTGTGTGGTATGTGGTAATATCCTGTGTCACGACTGGACCTGGAAGGTCAAAAAAGGTATTTTAGATTTTTGGATACTTTTAAATAAAAAGAGGGATAATTAGTTGAGAACATACATAGCATGACCAACAAATATGATTCATGTTTAAATTTTAAAATATTTATTACAGTAAAAGACACTTTGCCACTAATCCCTTCTTAAAATCCCCTCCACCCTCTTTGAAAATTGTTGACATCATTGTTGCCATCTTCTGAAGCATTTCTAGAAGTGCTCTTCCACGAGTGTCTTTAGTTGTGTTGCTATAGATGTCTGAATGTCTTAAATTGATCCAAAATGCTGACCTTTTATACTCATTTTGGCTTTGGGGAAGTCCCACAGTGCTGGGTCTGGTGAGTAAGGTGGATGAGAATGCTCCATAATGTTTCTGCAAGCCTCGGTTGCCACTGGATAGCTCTCAGCAGCAGCAGCATTCACTGTATTTTTGATCATATCTCACAAAGACACTCGTGAAAGAGGACATCCAAGACTGGTTCAGAAATGATGTGATAAGTGCGTTCAAAGGGAGGAGGAGTATTTTGGAGGAGGATTAAAGGATACATTTTTTACTACAATAAATTTTTAGAAATTTAAACATTGACTATATAGCCTGACCTCTCCTTGTAATGTCTTTTGTTTACTCTTCTTGGTTGGGGCACAGACCAGTGGCTAGATGAAGATACCGTTTGGATGATCATTTTGTTCTGTCATTAACATTTCTGGAGGCTTCTGTGGCCAGTAGCACTTTGAAGACTGACAGGCGGTTGTCTGGGGCCAACTTGAGCTGAGATGTGAACCTTGCTAGGAGGCATACTTAGAATGCTACCATATATTCTTATAATAAAATAAAACAAACGCAGGCCAATATGAAGAATGGACTCTCATAGTCAAGAAATAGCCTGGGTTTCTTGTGATTTTATACACGATGTTTTCCAGGGCAATTATTACTGTGTAGACTGTTCTTTGTCTAATGAATCAGGTTTAAGTATATGACACGAACTTATTAAGAACTGTCAAACATGATCAAAATGCTTTCCATTTAAACAAATAAGTATTTCTCTATAATACATTTTTAAAGCACTAACCTTAAATGACAACAGACATTTTAAAAATTGTAGATGAGATCAAAGTATTTTCTTTCCAAGTTTACATTGCAAAAAGTCTTAAGAGGGTGTGTGTGTGCTCTTTCATACACTTCATGTTCAAGAGTAGCATAAATCTGTCTCAATGTTCCTGGTAACAGATTGACAATGAAAAACCCTTTGCAAAATGATTTTTGGGCCTTTCTGGATGTCCAATATCCTGGCAGTAGGCCAGTACAGGGGACAGAACAAATTGGTTTCACAATATTTCAGGGCAGCCTGGTTATGATTACTAAAAATCATAAGTCATTGTTTATTTATTTATTTATTTTTTGATTTTTTTCTTCCAGTACTGGGGATTGAATCCAGGGACTCCACATTGAGCTGCATTCTCACCCCTTTTTTTAGTTTGTGTTTTGAGACAGGATTTTACTAAGTCATTGAATTGCCCAGGGTGGGCTCAAACTTGTGATCCTCCTGCAGCCTCCCAGATTTCTGGGATCACAGGCATATGCCACCACACCTGATTTTGAGATTTGAAAAGACAAATTTCTTTGGGAATCTTTTAAAGAAGCCAAATTTCCTAAGTTACGTGCTGGTAAACCCATGAAGGTTTACCAGTTTTTTTTTTTTTTTTTTTTTTTTAAAGTGACATTTCCTAAGCTCAACCAATAATACCATTCTCTCTCCAAACAGAATCCACTTCAGTGGGAGGCTGAGGTTGATGTTTATAAAGTTAGAAAAACAACCACAGATAAAACCTTCTTAAGTCATAGTGAAACCTTGGAATCCAGAATCACACATGCAAGACACACACACACACACAAGCAAACACACACAGAGCAGGCAAGAAGACCTCTTGGGTACATATAAAAATTCAGGTAACTGAAACTTGGTCTCTCAAGTACTCACAAGGTAATTATTTTAACCTTGCCCACAGAAAACAGCATAAAATTCATAGCTATATTTTCCTTTTTAAACACAGAAATTAAAGAACAAAACCTCCAATTATTTTCCTGTGTGTTTTGAGGTCATGAAATCATAGCATCACTGTAATTTGTGTATAGTAAAAGCAACTGGAGAAAGTAACCCACACAGGTGTCTGTACAGCAAATACCATCAGGCTGTGCTGTGTGTGCTGCTTGTCATTTGTTTGTTTGTGGGACTGGAGATTAAACCCGGGGCTAACACTTTTAAACTGTATCTGCAAAGATTTTACTTTTAATTCTGGGACAAGATCTTATTAAATTGCTGAAGCTGGCCTTGAACTTTCCATCCTTCTGCTTCAGCCTCCCAAGTGGCTGGGATTACAGGTATGCTCCACTGAGCCTAGCTGCTTTATAAACTTTTTATAGCTTTGGAACTCTTTCTTTTCCATTGGACTCTTGTCTCTTTATGTGTAATAATCTGCCTTATGATGGAAAAGTGGTAGCTAGTTTTTGAAACATATGTAAAATAAAAGTTCACATTAACGCATTGAGCTTTATGGCCTCTATTTTGGTACCTACAGGATCCCCCCCCTCCCCTTTCTCCTCATTCATTTAATTTGATGTTCAAGTTAGAGAAGTGGTACATTTTCATATCTGGCTCATGCTTATACAGCCATGAATGCAAATAATCAAGGAAAACACTCAGTATGAAGTTTGTTGGTGTGGGATTAATTTCTCTGCATCTACCTAGGAATTCTCCCCATGTCAGTTACTTAGGAAGTCTCCACTACATCAGTTATTCTGGAAATCTCTGGGTTAATTTCAGAGACCATCCCATTGTTAAATACTCTGAAATTTTCACTTAGAGCTGCCTTTAGGGTTCATTTGCAAGACACTGTTTAACCATTATACATTTTGGCCTTACTTGATCACTACTTTATTCACTAGATTTGGGTGTGCATAATTTCTGCATGTGTTAAAAAAAAAAAGATTTGTCACTAAGGACAAGATCACTAAGGTAGGTGGCCAGTTGATACAGATGCTAATGACAAGTGCAGCTATGGGAATCCTTACCAAAAATAATTCTGAGATGCCCATCTTGAAAAATACAATTCTGGAATATTCATTGGGATAACATATATACTTAAACACATTTTGAGTCAGTTTCTGAAAAATCTGAGTCAATTCATATATCCTGAGTAGAGATTATTCTTTTCATCCCAAAGGTATTAGTTTATATGTAAGTCTTTTGGAAACGCCAGCTCTAAAGTGCCCAGCTTGAAGAAGCCCCCAGGGGTTATGTTCTATGAGTCTCTGTAGTGTGTGCTTTCATGCATACACACAGACACCAGGCCACAGCTCTTTCCGGAGTTACGCAGGAAGTGACAGTTGCTTCTCTAGGCTTCTGATTAAGAATTTTCTTTGCAAGGGCTAGAGGTATAGCTCAGTGGCACACGTCTGCCTGGCACACACAGAGTTTGTGTTTGATTTCCGGTACAACAACAACAAAAATTTCCATGGAAGCTGTCTGAGCAAAACAGGGCCAGGAGACAGGACTATTTCCATATATTTTTTCTCATTCTAGATGGCAAAGGTCTAACCAGAATCCCCCCACCAATACTTTTTTACGTCATTTCATTTTGAACTTCTATGCATTTTTAATGGGATATGCTCTCTCTACTGATGTTTTTTTCAAAGGCGCACTTAGCCTGAGCCCTGGGAGAAAATGCTCCCCATCATCACAGGCTGGGCTTCACATTACCTGGGATGGGAGGAGACATGGCTGCCACCCAGTAGCCCAGCTGGGGGGCGATGTAGGTCCACGTGAGCTGGCTTCCCTCCTGGTGTACAAGGCCTAAGCCACTCTTGAGCCACGTCCCTGTGGGGTTCAGAACAAAACTTCAGTGACATGCATGCTAAATTCCTATTTTAGGCTGAGTGCTTGTAAAAGTCACCTTAAATGTCACATTTACAGCTCATTCTATTGCCCAGATAGTCAAATTATCATCTAGGGATTGCATACAGTTTACTGAAAAATTCTTTGCAACTTCCCTTCAGGTAAAAAGGCAAATAATTTCAGTTGTTCTCTGCCTTCCCAATCAAATTAATTTCAGCCACTGTGTCACACATCCTTCTTCTAAAATAATTTCTGAAGAATACTTGGAGTCCAGAAGTAGAATAAGATCAGTGTCTTAGAGGTTGCTGGAAGCAGAAAAGAGGGGGAGAGAAATTAGTGCTATTATCTCCACCCTCAAGAAAGTGAGCAAATTTCTTCCATCTGAACACCCATGGGCTATGGCAGAATTACTTACGAAAGCCTTTCAGAAATATGGACTTCTTGACTCCATCTTTGCAAATCTAACTCAGTGTGGCTGGCTTGGGTGAGTGTTCTGAAAAGCTGTCAGTCAGTTCTACAGTCAGGAAGTTCTAAATAAATCAAATGTGCTCGATCTGTAGCTATTACTTTAACTTGCATTTACCATCCATGAACACTTGCCTGCACTTGACTAAGCTGCAGCATCTTTATTTCACATACATTCTCTGTGATTCTCACAGCAACCCTATGTGGTAGGGTCTAGTTTCTTCTTCTGGATAAGGACACTGAGGACCTGGGAGTTTCAAAAATTTTTCCACAGCCTCTCAGTAGTGGAGAATAAAGTACAGTGGAACCTATATCTGTCTGACCTCAAGCTGAGGCCATTTCCTTTATCTTATTTTGGAGGGGTAATGTAGGTATTGTGCATTGGACTCAGGGTTCTTTCAGTAAGCTACATTCCCAGTCCTTTTCTTATTTATTTTTTAAAATTTTGAGACAGGGTCTTGGCTAAGTCACTAAGTTTCCCAAGCTAGGCTCAGTCTTGTGATCCTCCTGCTGCAGCTTCCAGGAGTGTTGGAATTACAGGCATATACCATTATGCCTGGCTCCAATTATTCCTTCAGCTCTATCATGATGTGTTCCTACACATCTTCCCTGGATCTGGTTATTCTGTTACTGCTTACTTTGTTGGATTTGTAGGTAGACCCACTGAGGACGATTAATTTGCTCAAGGTCTTTGGGTTCTTTTCTAGTTCAAATGGCAACCCTGGGCTCACCTGAAGAGGACCTTGAAGAGGTTTGTAATATTGTGATGGGCAGAAGGTACAGGGGAGGTGGCTGATCCCTCCCCCAGGTCATGGATACCCATTCTGACGCACTAGCATGGAAGAATGATGTTGTAGCTAGGGTTCACAGGGGAACTGATTTAATATGGGACACATAATTTACGAGATTTTTTTATAATATTCACCCAAAGAGTCAAGGCAGAAGAGTGCAGATCTGTCCACACACCAGACTCAGAATCCAGCTGAGGACCTGGATCCCATGCCACTGTCCTGTGAAAGTTTCAGCTGGAGGCCTAGAACCCACAATAACATCTCATGCAAGTTTGTATTAAGGATCTGCACTGGAAAGACCCAAAGGTCAGTGGTGGAAGCTAGAAAGTCTGCACCTGAGGATGAACGATCTGCCAACAGGCTGAGGGATCTGCAGTACAGCCAGGAAGCAATACTCAAGGTAAGGACCAGAGTCCCCTTGCAGTGAACCACAGCTATTCTCAGCAACAGCCAGGTCCCAAGCTTCTCTGACGGTGAGAACAGCTGAGTGCATGTCAGGAAAACCAGCTGACAAGCTTCTCCAGGATAATCAATAGCACATCATCTTCCTCTCCAGTTCTGCTTTTATGTTGTTGGCAACAATCCTCAGGTGGGCCTTCCACACCCAGCATCATGCTGACTATTATTTAATTTATCACACATGGGCTGCATACATATAGCTGCTACACCTTACTCCTACAACGGTGCACTACTGGAGGTGGCCCGATGCATGTGACCCAGTGGTACTGCAGGCCTTAACAGACTGAGTGCACCACATATTCATTCCTCAAGGATCTAATCCCTTCCTCCCCAGGTACACACATTATTGAGGTATTTTTGCTCCCTGAAGAAACAATGCTTGGGTTGCTTCTAGGCCTATCAGTTGCCATAGCAACACTAAAATGCAGTGGGTGGAAAGGTGCCTCCAATCTCACAGCCCCCTCTGCTCAGCTGGCAGCTACACAAAGGAGGAAGGTGGGAGTAACCCAAGGGGAAATGCTTTGCATTCTCCAGCCTTCCTGAGTGGGCGCCATTCAAATTAGAGCAAATATAAACCAAAGTTTTCCAAGATGACATAAGAACACAGTTGCCCGATTCAGATTCATTTTCTGAAATGCATCAACCCATAGACTTTTTAGCAACTCAAATACTTACTCCTTTTACCTGGCTCTTAAGGATATGAAACAAGCCGGGGTAAGAAAACTTTCCCTGAATGTAGTCATCCCGCAACTGTCCTGACCTGCGCACTATACCCACCCCACTCCTGTGTGTGCCCCCGGGGCCAACTCTGCAGACCTCCAGGTCAGCCAGGGAGCCTGCACACTGATTGAACTGCACTATTCTCCAGATTAGACTACATGCACCGGTCTGCAAATGAGGTGGTTACTAGGTTAGGCTAAACAGGAATTGAAGATGAAAGCTGGACACTGAGTTCTAGAGCTCCTGCTCATTCGTAAATAAAACTCCTATCTTTTTTCCTGATTGCTTTTGCCTTCTCCCACAGGAAAATGAAACAGCACAGACTGCTCAAGATTTCTCCAAATAGTGGTGGCACACACTGCAAGCCTGCACTATGGAGCTGGAGGCAGTGTGAATTTGAGTCCTAGATAGGGAGTCCAAGACCGGCCTAGAACACACAGTGGGGCCCCATCTCCATGAATAAAAAGTTCTCCAAGTTACATTTGAGGCAAGCCAGGCAGGAGGATGGACAGACCAACACAAGCCCCTCTGCTGACAGTCTCCAGGTCTCTCCTAGAAGACAGACAGTGGCAGTGGTGGTGGAGCAGGTCAAAGCCAGAAAGGTCATCAACTAAAGACAGACATAGCTGCTTTGGGAGCTCACTGAGGGACAGAACTGCCTGGGGCAGGGTGCAAGTGTCAGAGAGTGGATTTAGCTATGAAGAGTGAACTGAGTTTGTCAGCAAGGGGAGGGGAGAGGAGAAGAGGGCTGGCAGGGAACCAGGAGAAGGAAGACAGCATTCTAGGAATGAGAACAGCAGACGTGAAGGCAGAAACATTGGGCATACGGGATGGCCAAGGATGGAAAGACAGGGAAGCAGCTACAGGCTTCAAAGGAGTTTAGCATCCACCAAGGGAGGGCTTCAAATGTTCTAGAAGGCCACTTGGAACCTGCAAACAACGCACAGCATAGTGGGTTTCCATTATCTGCTGCCTACCACACCCTTCCTGAGTTCTTCCCAGACCAATACTTCTACCGGAGGCTGCAGCTTTGTCTGCTATTATGTTTCTAACCTCATGTAGTTTGTTTCTTTTCCAAAAGTCTACCCATCTTTCAAGATCCAAATCAAGCTGATCAAGCGTGGGTTGCTTTGTATCTGTTACATCTAGATCTTCCATGCTTCCACGCTGACATTCCTAGGGCATGTGTTACTGTATCTCAATTTTCCAAAAACATGCAGTGCTAACTGGGGTCCAGGTCTGAGAATGTGGCCTGCGCCTCTGTTCCTCTGGGCCTCTCAGCTCCTAGAAATACCCATAGGGCAGGCACTCAACAGCACTTCACACAGAATGACAGGTAGAGGCACAATGCAAAAAATCACATCAGGTAAACCATCTGTGAACATCCTGGTGTGACAAGCAGGAAAGATGTGACTTCAGTGGGGTTGCTTCTTTCCTAAACTCAAAGGAACAAAACTATCTGAGGGAAGAGTCATTTACTTTGGCATACATTTTCTGCAACATGCACACAGCCAGTGATGACACTGTGACATTGTTTCAGGATTCAACAATCATGCTGTTACTGGCAAAAGCATTTTCCAAGTTTCCTGTATTTTGTGGGAGGAAATGAGCTACAGGCAATACAGGAATCAATGACCTGTGCTTCACAAACATGTACTTCTTGTTAATGGTACCCTGACACTGCTGTGGGCTGAGGGCTGCTTCCCTACCTGGGCAATCGGCACATGCAAGAAGATCTTTGCCTCCAGCCTGGGAAATGAGGCTGGGTTCTTTATAGGTGATGACGCTGGCAGGGCAAACAAGCTTCTTGAAGTCTCTTCTGTCCAAGGCTCTGTGCGATCTGGGGAACCGCAACCAGGATGCTAACGGGACAGCATTTGCACATGTGGGAGTGGCAGGCACTTCTCAGTGCAACTCTGCAGGGCCCAGGCCGCTCCTGCTTCATGCATAACTGCAAGGGGCAAGGGCATAGCCTCTGCTGTTCCCAGTGGCCCACCTGCCATGGGGAGTACTGGCCTCTGGAAGCCTGGATGCTTCTGGCCAGTGCATTTGCTCATAGGGCTGTCCCAGGCAGCTTCCCAGCCTGTGGTCTAAAAGGAGAGCAGCCTCTCATGTCAGACAGTAGTACTGCCTGCTTGGGCTCACTTCATCTGGGCTAGTTTCTCTGCTTTCCCTGATCTGCTCTTTCCTGGCCTGTTCTTTTCCTCTACTTGCTCTTTCCTAGCCGCTTTGCCAGCTCCCTTCCCAGGGCTCTGAGGCAGTCAGGATGGAGTTTCCATTTGGTTGGTTTGGGATCACCCTTGGGACGGGTGGAGCACACTTTGGGGGAACGTGGAAGTCTGGCCTGGGGTCTGTGTCTGGTCCCTGGCCTGTGCATTCTGGAATTGCTCTTCTGCTGTTTCCTGGTGTCCTGAACTAAACAGCTTTGCTGTTCTTTGCCTTCCTAACATGATTTTTCTACCTGAGAGGCAGCTGACATAGACTGAAACTGTGAGCAAATTAAATCCCTCCTTTTTAAAATTGTGGGTATTGAATATTATGTCTCAG